CTGCTGTTGCTTGCTTCATTGAAACACGATGCACAGGCTCAGATGATGCTTCTTCGATGTCATCAACATCTTCAGTGCCACGGACGGAGTCAGTTATATCGTTGTCTGTCAGAATACCAGAAACGGCAACGTCATGGTCAATTTTAACAAAATCGTCAAACGTTTCTTCCACGATTCCATAACGACTGCTAGCTTCGCCCATTCTGTCATCCGTATCAGTATTTTCGATTATAGGCATCATTGTGTCGTCTTTCTCAGATTCAAGTACAAATCCACACGTTCTAAAGCAGTTCACGATTGTTGACGTTGCTACGTTTCTCCATGTCTTATCAACAATGCGCATAGCTTGAAGAATATCGATTATTGTAGATTTTTCGTCATCCATATCACTTATAATTTTCCTCACTATTTCTTTTCTATAAAGCGTCTTGAACGTTTTAATAATTCCTTGGTCCAAAGGTTGCGATTTTGATGTGGTATTTGGCGGTAAAAATTTTACTTTTATAGCTTGACAATTCGGTATAATATTGTGAGCCGGGCAATTGTCTATAAACTAGTGTTGGGCAACGATATAATTTTGTGTATCGATATCGTTCAGATTTTTCCGATATTGTATCGCGATATCGTTATTAGTACGATATCGATATCGTATCGTATCGTAAATATAATTTTATGTTCACCTAAGTCCTAAACAATTTAAAAAAAAACTTTTCGTATTCATATAATTAAATTTTTATCACACTAAGGAATTTACTATATTAAGCTATAATTAATATTTATTATTTATTATTGGTACACCAACATCGTACACATTTAACATACATACTTATTAGTTATTCATAGTAAACTATTATTTAAACATTTGTTTTACTTAGTTAATTACTAGTTACATACAAACAATGAAATAAGTAAACATAATATTAAAATCAAATAATTTAAATTTGTTTTCTTAATAATCTTAACTCTTAACTAATATTAAGTTAAAATAAATAATCAAAAATTAAAAACTATTGTTACATAACTTACGTAACATAACTAAACAAATTACTCACACAAACTTCTTTTTAAAATGTCATAAAATTATTCTTGCTTTATTTTATCATTTATGTTAACTCTTTTTGACTTCTCCTTAAATGTGTTCAAACCCGATAGCTGCATCCTAGAAAATAAATTTATAATTATTTTAACATTGTCTTGAATTCAAATTTAAAAAATTTAAATGTATGTTCTTACCAAAGTGTGGTCTGACGTCCTAGTGGATTTATAATAAGAGTTCAAAAAAAGAAGGTTGTTAACTCGATCTGGAGATAGTCTACTTCTTTTCTTTGAAGTTATATTGCCAGCCTCACTAAACAGACGTTCACATGGGACACTAGTCGCGACTATCGACAAGTATTTTTTTGCCAATTTTGAGACTTCTGGATATAAATTTGACTTTTCTTTCCACCATTTAAGCGGATCTTCATCACGATGACATTTTGTAGTCATATTCTTGTAGTTTTGTAGTTGTCTTGATGCTGTTATCGGAGTTTCAAAATCAATTGAAAATTCGTCTTCATCATCGCTGTCAGCCATTAATGAACGCATTTTTTTGAGAGGTGGATTATCTTCATCTGAACTTATAACATTTTCTACTTCATTTGCTTTATTTTGATCATTTCTAATTACCTGGCTCTGTGGATTCATTTCACAAATTTCAGTTTCAAGTTCTTTCCAAATCAAAGTTTTTTGCTCATCGGATATGAATTTTAGTTCGTGAAATCTAGGATCTAACGCAGCTGCTTTAGATAAAACTGGACTCATCATTTCTCGTCTAATTTTCAAGTCTTGTAGTATACTCAATTTAACTGTCTTTATAAAGTTAGAATCGGTTTCACACGTTTGAACTGTATTAAGAAGACTTTTAATCAAACGGTTTGCTACGGATGCTGTTACGTATTTGTTTCCGCCGAGTGTATTAGTTACAGACTTGAAAGGCTCTAAAACTTTAACTAAATCTTTTAAATTTTGTACTTCTACTGATGTAATGAACCATTCGTCAGTTTTCTTATTTTTAGATATGACGGAATTGATTGAGTATCTATGTTTTATTACACTTTCTATCATATTGCATGTAGAGTTCCATCTTGTGACACAATCTTGCACTAATTTATTTTGTGGTTCTCCATATTTCACTTGTTCCTTTTCTAATTCACTTTGAGCTGACGAACTTCTATTAAAGTATCCAACTATCTTTCTTATCTTATTAATCAATTCCTTGGTAACATCATTTTTAAGACCAGCATTTACAGATAGTTGAATTGAATGAGCTGTGCACCTTACCAGATTAAATTTATCCATATCATTAATCGCTTTAACCATATTCGCAGCATTATCACAAACAAAAGCCACCACTTTATTTTCAATATCCCAGGTTTTAAGAACGGATTTTAAATTGCTTACTATATTTATAGAAGTGTGTGATTCGGGTACTTCGGTGACTTCCAAAACTCGCGAATGTAAAGACCAGCTGTCAATAAAATGACAAGTTACACCTAAATAACTGTTATTTGAATCGGAAGTCCAAAAATCGATGGTCAAACTAATATCAGAAATATTTGATAAATACTTCTTAAAATTATCTCTTTCCAAAAGTGCTGCATGATCAATTAACCGTGATATTGTTCGTCTACTAGGTACAGTGTACTCGGGAATTCCTAAATCCAAAAATTCACGAAAGCCTTCTCCTTCTACTATACTCAAGGGTCTTAGATCTTTAACTATAAATTTTATCAAACTCTTTGTAAGTTCCTTGTTTCTTTTACTGTTAAGAGGTAGTTTTGCTTTTGGTCCTTTGAAATATGTCGCAATACTGCTAGTGTTATTTTTTGGTTTCACATTTACACACTGTTGTAAATGTGAATTTAAATTTGATGTATTTCCACTATAAGCAATTGAATTCTTACACGCTCGACAGAATACTTTTTTTTTATCTAATATAACACCACTATCATTAATTTTAAATCCAAATTTTTTCCAAATATCACTCCTAGCCCCAGGTAGAGGCACCAATTTTAATTCACTCATCACTAAAAATAATGTTGTTATTTTAAATTAATAATTATCACTGTACTATTGTAATAATAAGTTATCACTAATCACTATACGATGAACGATAAATGTCAAAAATGTTTGAAAAATAACGGACGTTTATATCACACCGACGGGCGACGGCACAAATTACACTGTGGATTATGGAATATCCAGTGGTACTATACCGTGTTCCTTTTAGTCGGAAAAATATAATATTATACTTTATAAACTAATAATATTATACTATTTTAATTAGTAGTTTAATTTTATATTGTCAATGAGTTGCTGCATAGATACATGTATAATAATATCATTGTAGAAACTATCAATATATTTGCTTATTACCTATAACTTATAAATAGTAAATACTATTTTAATTAAAATCTTTAGAATTAATTAAATTCTATTTATTATAGACGATAACATCCAAGTATATTGTATATATGATGGTATTAAATTAATAATAATAAAATCATTTCCGTTCCTTCTTTGCATTCCGGGAAAAATTAAAATAACAGATGTATTTATAGACCAAATACAAAACCAAATATACCATTCAATTCGTATTTCGTAATGTTATCATAAATCAAACAATCCCAGAAAAAGTTAGGATATATTTAAGTTAATAACTAATTTGTCGACTAGGTATCGACGCTGGCGTTGAACGTCTTAAACCTACAAAATAAATAATAAATACCATGTATTTTTCTTGAAAAATATTATTTTCGATATCACGATATATCATACAATACAAAACAATATCGATGTCGATAATTTGTTACGATATCGATATCGTATCGAATTATCGATATCGTTGCCCATCACTACTATAAACAATAAAATTTTACGTTTTTGTATTTTCATCTGTTTGTCTATTCGTAATAGCCATTCAGCAAACAATTCACTAGCCATCCATGCTTTCTTATTTGCTGTGTAGTCAACAGGAAAAGATTTAACACCAGCAAAACACCTCGGGGTTTTCGATTTTCCAAATATTAAAGGTTTCAGTTTATCTGTACCAGTCATGTTAACAGCCAATAATAGTGTAAGTCGGTCTTTGCTATGTTTACCACCACTGCATTTCTCATTTTTGAATGTTAAAGTTTTATCTGGCATACATTTGTAAAAAAGTGCAGTTTCGTCTGCATTAAATATATCACATGGTTTATATCCTTCCAGTAGCTCTCTCAAACTTATTTTCCATTCATTTACAACATTATCACTGACACCTGCACTTTCACCACAGATCTTCCTAAAAGAAATATCGTGTCGTTTTTTAAAATTTTCAAGCCACCCGTTACTGGCCTTAAATTGTTTGTGGCCTAATGATTTTGCGAAATTTTCGGCTTTTTCCTTTAAAATAGGACCTCCGATACTGACATTGGCATCTCTGCATTGCTTGAACCACTTAACTACACATTCTTCTACGTCTGAAAAATCAGGACCTCTCTTCCTCTTCCGGTCTATTGGAAAGTTTAAATCAATTTCCATACTATGTTTTATTATGGTTGATAGTGTACTGGCTGGTATTCCAAATTCTTCAGCGATGTCCTTCTTCTTCCTTCCACTTTTCACTGCTTCAAGAACCTTTTTTTTTCTCCAATGGTAAGAGTTTTTAAATTAAGAGGCATTTTTACATTCACTACCGTAACACAGACACCGCACACGCGTAATCGATCATTCGCAACTGGCAATACCGATACAAATTAAAAATACTGTTACGTGCCAAGGTTAGTTAATACATACGATAATAAACACAATAAACGCGATTAGATAAAATTATCGGAACGGACAAGTCGATTAGACAAATGTTTATAAAATTATCTGTCATTATCCGTCATATTCGGAGCACAGAATGTTCGAGTTATCTATAGTTTTTTTTTCGAGTAATCGAGGTTTTCGCAAGGGGACGGAATTTTTTCGACTTATCAAGGTTTTCGACTTATCGAGGTTCCACTGTATATTGTATTATCTGCAGCTTGAATAATTTTAGTTTTAGGAATATCTCTGAACTTAGCACCAGAAATGAAAATCCTCAGAGGTGTCTCTACGTCAATAGTATCATATTTATTGAACTTTTTTTTAAGCTTGATGGAGTCTGGAAATAATTAACAAAATTGTTTTAGTAATTTATAATTAGGTAAATATTAGACAGGATAATGAAAATTAAAAGATAAAAATAATAGTTATTACCAAATATAACGGAACATATTGTTAATGTGTAGAACACCTTTTTTCCTTTTTGTCCCTTATAGCTAAATATATTGAGGAGTATATCTTTAAAAAGGAATCTCATTATAGCGCGCACAGTACTGGGCAAAGAATCCTTTGCATATCGTTTCAGTTCCAAAGTCTGCAAATATAATTTTGTTTTATTAAAACAATAATTGTTCAATGATACTATAGTATTATTGGTGTTATATATATATATTTTTAGAGAATTATTTAAAACTGAGAAATCTTATCTCTAAATTAGCACCTCTTGTAAGTTATATACAAAATTATAATTTAAACCTTAATAACCTTATTATTCAACAATTCTATAACTAGATGTTGGTAAAATGGACGCAACAAAGTAAGGGGGCGCATTTGAGATAAATCAAATTGGTTTTTTGTATAAAATTTATCAAAATAATAAATTACGATTTGATGATTTATTAGTGTACTACTTTTACAATAATACTATATAATGATATATATTTTACTTTTGCGTGTATCAAATGTACAACCATATAACTCATTAACTTTAATAAATCAATAATTTAAAAAATATAACAATATTTTAATTAACACATAAGACTGTAATATTGTAATATAATATTACTATAAAAATAATACCCTAAAATGAAACAAAAATAAGCGCTGAAAAATAAAATTTACCAAGGGTGCCACGACGGGTAGTTACGGAATTGTTATTCAAACATAGTTTCAAATTTAATTACATGTCATCAATAGTCTATAACAATTTAATCATCCAAACCAATAAAATTTCAAAAATTGTCACTTACTTTCCTTTAAACTAATTATTATTATAATAACATATTATGTTATTTACTAATCTATTATTAGGTAGTAATGAATGATATTTAGATAACAAAAAAATACCTATTGTATAAATTGCAGATAGATTCCCAGACAAAATACATACTTATATCAAAATAATAGTTCCCAAATAATCAAATGAATAAAATTATCAATATTAATTTAGGTACCTATTATAAACTTACAATTTTTTTTCTGAATTCTTGATTGGAAAGTTTGATTTCAAACAATGACAAATCTTCTTAATTTTCTAATGGAAGGATTTCAAATATTTCTTTTTGAAATGTATCTTCATCAGTTAACAGTTCTCCAAAACCATGTACAGTTTTTTCAGACTTATTTATTAAATTATCAATTTTGTCTGGTAGTGACATAATATCATATTTAATATTACATATAGTACGGTTCATTTTGTAGAGAAATTCTAAACATATCATATTATAGCTGGTATAAATGTTATCATATAATCTTAGAATTACTAAAAATGTTTTTAATTTATATATTTATATCTACCTAATACTTTATCTTTTTGAACAGACTGATAGTCTGTTGACAAAATTGTTTCTTTTCTATTTACATATTCTCTATTTGAAGGGGTTGAAGAGATTGAGGTTTAATATTTTCTTCATTCGTCACTTTAAATGGAGAAGATGATGTACAAATTACATTATTCAATGGAAATTCTGGACCTAATTTAAAAATGTATTTATATCAATTTAAAAATAATTATTTTACATTTTATACAATAATGAACTTTTTAATAATATGTGTTTGGACTCAGTTAAATTAATATTTATTCAACTTAAAATGTTTTAAATATTTATTTTATTATACTAAATAATAAGTATTTATTTTATTTTATTTTTTACTAACTTTTCAGAATTTTTGAAGACTGGTAAATTATGTTCTACATAACACAACTTTCTTTTAACATTTAAAGTTCTACTGACAATTTTATTGGTTTGTAACGAGGTTTGTAATGTTGAATTGGTCGGTATATTTGAAATTATATTACAGAAATGTTATACACAATTGTATCATTATTAATTGCTTAAAAATATAATAACTCTAGCAGTGGCGCATTTAAGGGGGGGGGGGCAACTGGGGCAAGTGCCCCGGGCGCCAAATTCTAGGGGGCGGGAAAATTTTTATAGTTTACCACTACATATAATTGAAATCTTTCTATTTAATTTGATATAATATTATTATACAAAATACAAATAAAGATTATAAATTAAAAATAGACATTTTACTTATAACTCATAAGGTCTATGATTATAAACGGTTTTCATACAGGTCTATGAGCGGCACGGGATTGTGACAATCATAGATATAAATATCTATGATTTATTTATATATATATTATAATATATATCATCTGTGGCGGAAATAACATGTTATTAGCTAATACGAGTTAAAAATAACATAATATCCACAAATATTTTCTCTATCACCGACCGCCGAACGTTATTTTTGTCAATATTAGCTATAGTAACTCGCGTGTTTAATTGTCTTCTGACAGCGTCATGTGGAATAAGTTAGCCATACGGTCATTAGACGCTTAATGTTAATATTTGATTTAATCTTTAGTGTTTATTGTTTATAATTCGTTCTACTTTCAAAATTAGTATTCAGTATTCCAGTGTACCTTCTATAAATTACTGGAATTTGGTAAGTACAATATTATAAATTTATAGTTTATATATGGTTCTATTCGTTCTATGCACTGTACTCGATTGAGTATTATAAATTATATTTATATTACTATATTCTGTAATAGATTATACGCGGATTTTCAATATGGAAGCTAAAAAAAAGCTTAGTGGTTCAGGATATAGAAAGCAAGCAAAAATTAAAAAATTAAAACACGATGTATTAATTAAGAATTGTAGAAAATTAGATAGTATGTTCAAGCCATCGAATAATTCAAGTAAGTTGTTTTTGTTTTTATTGAAGTATAAAAACAAATAACAATTTAGCGTTTCAATTTTCAAATTTCTTATTTTGTATTTAATTATTTAAAGTACCTACCTGTTTTAAAAAAATACCAAACTCGCTTTTTATATTAATATAGGACCATTATATCTGTGGTTGGGAGCCAAAAGCTGATATGTGAAAAAAATTCAATATTCAGGTTTTAAATGATATGTGTAGTAAATGATGAATATTTTTTTGTGTCAAAATATGATATCTGTAGCTCTATTATCAAAATGAGATATTCAGCAATAATTAAAATGATATGTTTCGTGGAAGAAAAAATAGTTTGTGTCCATCTATGATATGTTACTTATCATAATTGATAATAATTTTTTTTTCGCTGTGTCTAGATACCCGGGTGCCCTTGTAGATAAAGGTACACGGACCCATCCGTGTATATATTCGATACCAGTGGTCATGTTAATGCGCATGCGCCATACACACTATAATATTATTTCATGTTTTATATTTAAGGAAACTAATTTTATTTTATTTTATAATTTATTGTGACAATTTATGATTTCAACTTTAATTTATTGTTTATTACATATGTATTTTAAATGAACAAGTTATATTAAATACTTTGTCAAAGTATCTTAGAATATTAGTTAATATATTTTCTATTTAATTTTTAAAATTAAATATTACTATATAAGTATATGTGTGTACATATGATTGTGTATAAAATAGGTAAACATTCTTTAATAAACATATAACGTTTAGTTGATTTAGATAAATAGACCAAACTAATAAATAGCTTAATATGTCATGTAAATGTTATTGAGCAAATATTATATATTTTTTTGGATTTGTTTAGTAAGTTAGAAGCCTATTAATAGTAGATATACTGTATTTATAATATCATCACTATCATATCTTTGACATACTAATTACTAATACTAAAGACAATTGTATAATAAATAAAATTATATTAATGAGTGATGAGCCTCTAATACATTTTTTTCTCCTAAATAATTTTTAAACATTTTTAAAAATTTAGTCATGTACTAAGTTAGACCTTAAACAGTGCCAAAAGAAAATATTTTATTTTATTCAATATTCATCAAAGTTTACAACAATAATAAATGTGGAGATATCAAGTTACAAGATTATAAAAACAAATTAAGTTATGGCAGTATTATGTACCTACTCAGGATTTTTTTTAAGACCATCAGAATTAGATTCTGAGTTTAGAGTGAAATTCATCTTAGGTGGTGTGCATAAATAATGAAGACATTGCATATAATTTCTAATGATAAATATAATTATATTGAAATTAATATAGTCAGTTACTTTTTGATTTCAAATTATAACAACTTAAGCAGAACCAAGAACTTGATTTAATCTTTTTGAATGTTACATTAACACATTTTTTATGGTACAGCGTTAAACAGGAATTACATAAAATGGAATCTTCATAATTTATTTCACTTTGACAAGTAAGGCATACCCAGACATTAATTTGTTTTTTTAATTCAATTATGTCTTTGAGTAAATCCCAAGCACCAGTACTACACAATGGTTTAATTAAATTAACATTAACTTCTGGTTCAACTATTCCCATATGAATGAGTTCCACATGAGTTTTTATGTCTTCTCTTTGTATAATATAATTTTGTTTTCTGACATTTTGGGAAATTGAATTATTTGTTAACCACTGAATAATCATATTTTGTTGCTCCAGATAGTGTTTGAGTCTAAAAGCAACTGGTTTGCATAATCCTTTTTTTTTTTTTGGTAATCCAATTGTTGTCAATACAGCTCCTTTGGGCCGACCACAGGTTTTAATTTTAGTTGGTAATTTTATATCACTAACAGCTGAAATGGGCAATTGGTAAATACATTAAAATAACTCAAAATCTTAGTAATAATTGATTAAAAAATAATATAAATTATACCAATTGAATGATTTGTAGAATCTTTTAAAACTGATTTCAGTTCATTGGTTATTGCAATTGATGTTTTCTCAGGTTGATCTGGAAAATCATTTATTATTTTTTTTCAATATAAACATTACTTAAATTAATTATATACAAATGAAAATATTTAATTTAAAAAAAGTAGGTACCAAAAGTAAGTAATGACACATCTTTATCTAATTGATCAGTTGAGGCATCATCAAAAATAGATCTATTGACATCAGCATGATTCTCATTCATTAATACTTCAGCATCAGCAGTAATAAAATAGTTATGATCATGTTGAGTGGTGTTGACATTTTGTTTAGTATAACTTGTGTCCATAAAATCAACTAAAAAACATATTATATAAATTATATATTTATATTTTGTATTATATGTTACCATATATTTGGCGGGTAATTATGTTAAAGAATATATAAAGAAAAATGATAATAAAATAATTCCTAAAATGCAGTATAATGTTTTTGGTTAATTAACTAGTTAAGTTTTGTTTACCACTTAAATTATTATTTAACATGTTATCATTGCACACATTGGCATCATTATCATCATTAACATTGTCTATGTCCATTGGTTCTTCTGTTTGTTCATTATTGCCTATAAGTATACATAAGAAAACATATAATATTAGAAAAATTGGACATATATTTTATTAAATTAGAAGCACATTCCACTATTATATAGGTTTATACCATCAATAACTGTAATTGAAATCTCTTTTCCATCACTCCAACTGCTTAACAGTAAATTAAGTTGTTCAAGTTTTCTATCAAAATGGACATTGGATGTATATGAAATAAGCTCGGCTATTTTAGTAGTACAAATAGATGCCTTTCGAAATTTCTCGTGACTACTTTTCGGTTTTTTTGATTTAATCTGCTCTATACGAGGTTCAAAATTTATTTCCACATCATTTTGTTGATTACATTCAGATTTATCTATGGCTGTTTTTAAAGCTCTTTGTGATCTGTAGTAAAATTCTCTTGACCATCGTTTATCACATAGGGTTGAATCATACAATGGAAAACTTGATTTTCGTCGATATTCAAATATATGACAACATGGTAATCTCATTGCCATAAAAAATTGACAGTTACATGATTTTTCTGTAGTATTTTGATTAAAGGATACTTTACTTTGAAATTGTTTTTTAAGAAATTCAAATGCATAAAGTGTTAAAAGATTAAAATATTTGATTAATTCTGGATTTTGTATACTAATAGTTGGCTGTTTTTGAACCATTTTTAGTGCATTTTTATCCCTTTCTAATCTTAAGCATTTAATAACAACAAATAATTTATCCACAAATGTTTCCAAATTTGAAAAAATAGGAATTACACTTTTTAATTTACCATTAAAATTTTCTAATCTATTGTTTGTTAAATTCATAAAGTTTCCATTATTGCTAGTTAAACCTGTTACCCATTCATTCCTTAAATCATGCCAATTATTATTAAAATACTCCAAAACTGAATTAGGAGCAACTTCTTGGAGATGTTTATATAAACAGGAATATTCTTCTTCATTTTTTGAATAGCATAATTTTTCAAAAATACTTTTGACTTGATCTCGTACCTTGGGTGTTATTCCACGTTTTTCACAAGTCAATTCTCTATTGAAGGTTCTTAAACTATGAAATAAACATATTTCTAAAGAAGCATTTGGGAATACTTCTCGTATAACTGATCGTTCTTTCATGTCTTTATCGCTGACAAACAAACGAATTAAAGTGCTGACAGAGTTTAAGCGTTTGAAGGTTTGAAAAAACCATAGAAGTGTTTCATATTCTTCATTTACAAGTAATCCAATGCCTCCTACTTCACTTTGCCCATTACCGTCTTCTAATAATAATATATATACTGGAATTTTCCAATCTATTAATTTATAAGTAGCATCAACAAAAATCACCTAAAAAATAATTTTAAAATATTAAAAAAATTATTTTTACTTTATAATTTATACCTACTATTAAACATTTTTTTAGATTTGTAATTTCAAATAATATTAAAATGTTTACTATTTAGGCCGCCTTAAGGTTAAATTTGTTTTAAATTTGTTGGCTTACATAATTGATAATTTATATAAAAAAAATTATTTATAGTATTTTTACCTCGGGGTATGCTTGAAATGACTCTTGCATAATTTTGTCCTGAATAAATATTCCAACTAAACTATTATCATCAGACACAGACAATTCCACTGAACAACAATAGGTTTTTTTTAATTTTTTAATTATTTCTTCAATGTCACAATTTGATTGTTGTTTTCCTTTTAATAAAAACAAATGTTAAGATAAGTAATAGAATTTGTGGTATAAAAAAAGTTGTCATATGGTTCTATCTCATATTTAATATTATTAATATAAAAATTAATGACTTATAAGTTATAATATACTCCCCTAAAAAAAAAAATCAGGCTTGAAAGAATAATAGTAAATAGTTCAAATATTTTGTTGCTGAGTGGCTAAAAGATGTTTGAAATAAATTAAAAATAATAGGTATGTGTAATAACTAATAATTTATTAAAATTAATTGAGTTCAAGATATTCTGGTGCAGTAATGCCCATCTACAAGTTTAATGTTTTTTTACCAACTTTATTTCTACCTAAGAACTGTCATGACTGCTAGTAGGTAGGTACTTAATAACTTTATAATAAACGAATGAGCCTTAATTAATCATGACTGTTTATCAAGGATTAGGTTTTTAGGTTAATATAGTATACTGTAGTCTATAATAGTTAATTGCA